GTGTTAACGAGCAGTTGGACAGGTGTACCTAATAAAGTGGCCGGTGAGTGTATATTGGTGGTCATTTTTGACTGTGTAACTTTACAAACAGCACCCCATGGTTTAGGCAAAAAGGTGAAATTAATAAAAGGTTTACATCAACACATTTTATACCTGTCAAAGCTGATAACRAGCAGGTTCATGACTGAGGCATTACTGGCCACATAGTCTATTGCAAGCCACACGTCGCAGACCACTGGTCCCAGCGCCCACTGGCCCATGATGATGTAGATGGTGTACAGGTTCATTGACAACGTGCCAATGGTCAGGTCAGCAAACGCCAGGCTAAGCAGGTAATAGTTGTTCACTGTCTTCAGAGCTTTATTTATCTTGAATGACAATAAAACTAGGATGTTGCCAACAACGGTGACAAGTGAAAGGGATCCAGTSAGGAACACAATTATGATAACCTGTGAAAACAGAAAAATAAGCAGGTCAATTGTAGTAAATTTATATAATGTTGGTCAGATTTTGTTGTAGTGTTTTAGATTTTGGAAGCAGAGCATGTAACATAAAGAACCCCTCTCCCAACATGACCTCTTGACCATAAAGGTCATATATTTTAACTGAACTGAACTGTGTTCTTTGAAAAGCTTTTTTCAAGTCAAACCTTTGACCCAGTAGATCTTGGTTTAAAGAAGTTTGGGCACCCCTGTTTTAGATCTTTGAGCTCAGCTCATGAAAACAAATCTGATCTGGTGGCGCCCTCAACAGGTAAAACAGTGCAGAAACAGTACAGCCTTCTGTTTCTCCATTGTTACACTGGTTTACAAGTGATATATAGGTTTTCAAAACAGTTAAAAAGTACACGACAAAGCAAATATTATTGGTTTTGAAAAGGACCATATCCTGAAGCCATGGGTGATATGTAGCATATAGAAGCAGAAAACTACTGAACATGGTGTATAAACTAACTATTTTACAAATTAACCATGTGAGGTCTTGAAGTAGTTATGCAAATTGAATCATTTGTTACAWTTTTTAAGCTATATTTTCTGTAGAATATTTTGATTCAGCTTTTGGACATCTAGAGCCAGTTGTCGATAAAGAGACTGATTTTATTAATATTAGACACGGCTAAAAGTTGACAGAAGTCATGAATGAAATCATACTTAAATAATTTGCAAAAGAGTCATTTAATGTCAGTTGAGCATAGGTACCTCAAAATAACAGCAATTTTGAACAAACTGTAAATTTCTTGAAAGTTTGTAGCAGCCATGTGAATGAATCTGACTTTCTCATTTAAAGGGATCCACSATTAGTTGTAACATTAGACTTTAATTGATAAACATTTGTTTTTTAATTTTTTTCTTTTCGTCATTTTACAAGCTCTTTACAACAGTGCACATAAGCCAAGCACAACACTGTAGCATGACACCTCACAGCCACAGAGAGTAAGTGTAGCCCATGCTGTAGTTCAACACTTCACCACCAGGCGGCGGCCTCGAAGAACCTTCATTGGATTCTTCTTCATGAACAACCTTGATAAACATTTGTTTTAACTGCAAAATAAAGACTGTAAAAATACTGTAGGCTGTTTAGTTTAGTAAATTTTAAAAAATATATTTTAACATGGACGGAGCCATTTTGTTTCCACACAAAGCATTCTGGGTAAATGATGACGTGGATAGGTCCTCGGTACGAGGCTGCTAGCGAGCTATATCCACCCTGAAGGTTAATCTTGGACAATATCTGACAGCTTAGCCTGTTAGCTTTAGCGCCAACATTATATTGCTATATGTGTATTAGCTCGGGGCTAATGCTAAAGCTAACAGGTTAAGCTGAGGTTGTTCTTCCATGAAGCAGCTCTGTTGTCCTCCATCCATATTTTCAGTTCCAGGCTGAGTCATTTCTACCTTCTCCTCTCTGTCAACGCTCTCTGGTTTCATTTAAAAGAGTCGATCATCAGATATTGTCCAAGATTAACCTTCAGGGTGGATATAGCTCGCTAGCAGCCTCGCACCGAGGACCTATCCACGTCATCATTTACCCAGAATGCTTTGTGTTTAAATAAAATGGCTCCGTCCGTGTTATATATTTTTAAAAATTTACAAAACTAAACAGCCTTCAGTATTTTTAGTTATTTTACAGTTAAAATAAACGTTTATTAATTAAAGTCTAATGTTACAACTAATCATGGATCCCTTTAAAATTCCTCATTGTAAAACCATATAATTATGACATAGAGTCCTGAAAATATTGTTGCACAAACAAAGCTGCTGTTTAATCAGTTGTTACCTGCCAGACTGTGTGTCCTCCTAATGGGTCAAACTCTTCACCAGGCAGCACAGTTTTGTTAACTGGTGACTCAGTGAAGTTTCCTCCATCTCTTGAAAAATAATTAACGTTGTGCCACGTCCGATGAGTTTCAGGTACGGCTGATTCCTGGTAGGAKCCACCTGAACACAAATAAATAAACAAATAAATAAGGTCGTTTGGATCATACAAGACATTTTTGAAAACCTTTTCAGTTTCCAGTTGGAACGTGAGCATTTATGATTACTCACCACAAAAGTGAGTAAAGCTCTCCTACTTTAACTTTTAATAGTAGTTTTGTATTATTTATTCTACATTTAGTCAGTTATACTGTATTTTATAATGTTTATATAAAGGCTTGTAGAAATAATTGCATTGGTCAAAACTAGCATGTCTGAATGATAGCAGAACCACTTGGATTTCCTAAAACTTTATTCCCAGTCTGCTCCAGTCAGTGTCACAGTGCAGGCCTGAGATTAACAAAACAGCCCTTCAGGCTGAATCTAACAGAGACACAAAACTCTAACAACTTCTGAACACACTGGTTTTCTCTCCTCTAATAATAATAAATTGACCTTATAATGTATTTCTCTTCCTGGTTACACACCTGGACGTGTTACCTTTTTACATCAGATGTAGAACTTAACTAACTTTTATTTATACAAATTTTATGTTTTATTTTTACTTGTGTCATTGAAGACACACACACACACACACACACACACACACACACACACACACAGTGGTTTTAATGGCTGAAAAACAGTGTTTTTATACTGAAAATCAAGTCACCATGTAAAATAGTCCCAGTTGCTGTGGTGTGCTCAGATTAAAGGCCTCCAAGCTGTCAGGCTGTATGAACCTCAGGTCTCTCCTGACTTTTCTGCTGACGTTTTAGGTTTAACATAAATCACAAAATGACTTTCACACAATCCAACAGTTACTCAAAATATAATATTTAGTCAAGAAGCTGTTAAATACTGACATATTCAACCTTTAAATCTGACACAGGCCTATAAAGATCAGTCATTTTGTAGTGTAGGATGAAGGAACAGGTGAAACTCCTCCACACACACACACATACACTATGTCTCTCTATCCTTGTGGGGACTTTCCATTGATTTCCATTCATTTTTTTGGAAATTTGATATCCTAACCCTGACCATTTACCCCRAAACTAACCTCACAGGTACCTACCTGACCCTAAAACTAACCTAAACTCAATTCACACCTTGGTCCTAGTGCAGGGGTGCACTAGGACCAGTGCAGGGGTGCCCAAACATTTTCCCTGAGAGGGCCAAAATTAAAAAACATTTTTCCTGAAAGGGCCAAAATTCAAATCAGTCTGAGGGCCACGGGCCAAATGCAATAATATATATAATGCAAAGTAAAGTTGTTTTATTTTTTAGGATTAAGTTAGCAGCTAGTGTGGTTGCCCACATTTTTTTCTTTTCAGCCCATGGTCATGGAGAAAATTCAACGTATCCTCAGGCAGCAAAGGCTCAAGGGACTTTTCACATTTAAAATTTTAGTATATGTGGTCTTATAAGGTGTGCAAATCTACATATGGGCTTAAATCTAATGTAAATGTCTCAATCTAATAACCAGGACAACTGCTGGTGGGCCAAATCAAGTTGCTTGGCGGGCAAATTTTGGCCTGCGGGCCCCACTTTGGACACCTCTGGAATAGTGTATTTTATGTACAACTTCACATTGGAAGAGGCTGTGCCTAGCACACATTGAAGAGAACTTTCAACAAAACTTGATGTTAATAATTATCAAAGTGACTCCAGGTTCTCGCTCCCATGAGTCTTTAGGACCTGAAGCAGGTTTGTCAATGTTAGAATGGATTAAGATGTATTTGGTAACAATTAGTCGGTTTGATCAGGATCAAGAGTCATTAATGAGTCCATCAGAGTTTCTGCGGGGCGACTGGGAAATTTGGGGTTCTGCGAACAAAACAGATTTATAAAATTTACTTTATCAACTTGTCTTCTGAAGATGCTCTGTGTTGAAGGATCAGTGGATCTGTGTTCGAC